TGCCAAAGAAATACCAGGTGTATCCCTCAGAATGCATATAGCCAATCTCCTGGATTTGCCACCACCCATATATCTTTAATGATCTTCCAGATGTTGCTTTCTTAAGATGTTTACATTCTTTTTCAGATTATCTTTTACCCCTGGCGCCAAGCACTTTAGCATATTTTCAGATATCAGAGTCTTAGGATAGTATTTTCTTTGAGATTTAAACAAGAAAAAATTCTACATAGTACTTGTAATCTCTTTCACAGTTGTAATTGCCTTTCACAAAGCTGGCTTTGTCTGAGTTTTTGCTTCTGCTGTTTATATCTTGGTAGTGCTACCTGTTGGTTCCTTCATAAACAGTGACAGCAATCTTCTGAACTAGGCTGAGGCCCAGTCAAGTGTGGACAGACATATGTATCTCTTACCTCACTGTGGTTTCATTTTTCTGCGTGTCTGCCCTAATCTAAGCTCGTACTGGGAGCTGCAGTGCATCTCGTGTCTCGGCCTACGGAGGAATAGTTCGTTGCATATTTTCTCAGAGACAGCTGGGCGCTTCGCAGGGAGTGGTCCCCCCTCCCTGTCACCAGGGCAATCTCTTTTACATCCCCCAGGACAGATGGAGAATGAAGAAATTAATAATTCACAGTGTGTATATAAGTGGTGATTCGTCCTAGACTGAAATGTACTTGCATTTTGTTCAAAAACATCTTGATGAAGAGAGGCCCAATGGTGAACTAAGAGTTAGAACATAGGAAGTAGGGAAACTCTACTAAGAAAATGGACAAGACAGGCCAGGCAGGGTGGCTCACGTCTGTAATCCCAGCACTTTGGGAGGCTGAGGCGGACGGATCACCTGAGGTCAGGAGTTTGAGACCAGCCTGACCAACATGGAGAAACCCTGTCTCTACCAAAAATACAAAATTACCCCGGTGTGGTGGTGCATGCCTGTAATCCCAGCTACTCGGGAGTCTGAGGCAGGAGAATCCATTGAACCTGGGAGGCGAGGTTGCAGTGAGCCGAGATTGCGCCATTGCACTCCAGCCTGGGCAACAAGAGTGAAACTGTCTCAAAAAAAAAAAAAATAAATAAAAGAAAAGAAAATGGACAAGACAGACTGAAATTAGCCAGCAGCCATTAGCTCAGGTACCGTTTAAGTGCTCATTGTACTGATTGATGTTTGGATAGTGCATTAGCAGAAATATTATTTACTTGCACTTACATTCATGTGATCTGTAGGACTCAGGGGTCCTGTTTGTGTCTGTAGTCATAGTTAAGTTTATAGTCAGTCCTGGTTGGCGCTGGGGAAAAGAAATCAGGATGCATTCATCGTGAAATACCCCTACTCTCCTCTCAGGAGAGAAGAGGAAATGAGCGTGTTCTCTCTCTCGGTTAGAAACAGATAAAACTGTGTGCCATTAGCAATTGGATAGGAAACGATAACTGGAACCTTCTGTCTAATCTGGTTTCCTTAAATGTACGGAGCAGATAGCTGCATCTGGGGAGCAGTGCTCTTAGTAAGGGTTATGGGGGCTTCAGTTGCAATGGCTCCAGTTGAAGAGCCGTGGCATTTTCATCTGTCCTGAATCATCTGAGTGTTATTCTTCTTCAGATTAACTGGGTTTATCTGTTACAGTATATAATTATGTTGCTTTGTTATATATTTGAAAAGCACTTAGCATGTTTTGAAATGTAGCGCTGAAGTGACTTTAAAATGTCAACTCTGTAGTTTTAGTTTTAGGGCACAGTTCTTGCAAATTCCTGCTTTTCCTCTCTGTCTCTAGTACCTCTGAAGTCAGTAGTTGCAAACAAACAAACCTTAAAGCCTTTTGTATCACTTTTCTTTGGGATAGTTGTTGAATTCAATAGCTCATTATTTCACATAATATTGTGTTCATAGTACAATTTAACATGTAGTCTTTGAATGTTATAAATTCTAAAAGATTAAACAAGAATATTAGAAAAGGAATGAAAAGTGCCCTTAAAATGCTGCCCTAGGCTGGGCACGGTGGCTCACTCTTATAATCCCAGCACTTTGGGAGGCCAGGGTGGGTGGATAACCTGAGGTCAGGAATTCAAGACCAGCATGGCCAACATGGTGAAACCCTGTCCCTGCTAAAAATACAAAAATTAGCTGGGTGTGGTGGTGCGTGCCTGTAATCCCAGCTACTCGGGAGGCTAATGCAGGAAAGTCGCTTGAACCTGGGAGGCGGAGGTTACAGTGAGCCAAGATCACTCCAGCCTGGGGACAACAGTGAGACTCCCTCTCAAAAAAAGAAAGGAAATATACATAATAGGAATTCCAGGAATCTTGTGGATTCTTCTTTTTAAGGTCCCGGTCACCGGGCATGGTGGCTTATGCCTGTAATCCCAGCGCTTTTGGAGGCTGAGACGGGCAGATCACCTGAGGTTGGGAGTTTGAGACCAGCCTGACCAACATGGAGAAACCCCGTCTCTACCAAAAAAATGCAAAATTAGCTGGGTGTGGTGACAGGTGCCTGTAATCCCAGGTACTCGGGAGGCTGAGGCAGGAGAATCGCTTGAACCTGAAAGGAGAAGGTTGCAGTGAGCCAAGATTGCGCCACTGCACTCCAGCCTGGGCAGCAAGAGTGAAACTCCCTCTCAAGAAGAAAATAAAAAAAGTCCCAGTGAACTGTGGGTACAATGTAACACTTACACACTTAGGCTGAGTTACTCTCTGTACTAGGCAGTCATGTGCATAGGTTCCTTTGTGTGTTCGTGGTAATCGTTCAAATCTTGGATCCTTGGCGATCCTTAGAGCCACTCGATACTTCTGCCCCAATTTCTTAATTTCAGCCATTACACAATCAGTTATCCAAGGGATACACTTGGCATATAGATAGTCCATCGTTGACTGCACTAAGTCCATTTGACTTTTGTGGAAAAGTTGATGAAGTTGGTATCAACGAGGATGTGGTAAGGTGGGCCCAGCTGTGTATTATATTGGAAAAATAAGCAGGAAGGGTGTTGGGGAACTTCTCTTTCCTTTAACGTGCTGGGATCCTTCTTTTCTTTCTCTTTAGGTTTTACTCTGTCCTTTTCTTTAAGCCTCCGATCTCTGAGACTAAGCATTCACTTCATGGTTGCATAGTTCCTTGTTTTTTTTTTTGCTTCCTCATGGTCATGCCATACTCCTGTTTCTTCCGTAATCACCAACGGCACAATACTTTTACCTGGAATACATTTTTATGTTAGTCAAACTGTCTCTGTCCTTTCTAATAGATTCAATAAAGATAAGTGTTTTATTTGTGGATTTGAGGGCATAAATCTGAAGCTACATGAACTGAATTGCTTATCATGTAACACTTGATTTTCCTTTTCCATGACCAAATCTCTTTTCTACTCTATTTTCTAATACTAAGTTATTGTAAAACTGTCACGGTTTCATATATTCCCCAAACCAGGAATGTGTCTTATCTGAACTTCCTTAAACTCATGATGAGTCAGAGGAGGCCAGTCTTCATTAGTAATCAGCACCAAATTCATTTCAAACAAAGATCTGTGTGGACATAGGATTGGTATGGAGAAAAATATGGTGATAAATTAACTGTGTCTCTTGTGTAGTTGAGTAATAGAATTTCATTGTCGAACCCTGACCTGAGATACATGTTTTCTTTTATCAAAGTAGAAAATGAGTTGCTGTAAGTAAAGAAACTGTATTAAATATTGTGTAACATGGAGATTTTTTTTTCTATTAAGTACTAACATTGCTTTTGTTTCTGTTCCAAACTTTGAAATCAATGCACTTGGAGAAAATGGAAACTACTTTTCAAGGTCCTACAGAATAGATGTTTATGAATATATTTTCATGCATGATTGGTAATGAATCAGGTCTCTTTCATGCCATTGCAGTTAGAGGGCCTCTGGTGCTAGAGTCCTCTGGAGGACTGGGCTGTCGGAGTGGGGGCAGCGGGGTGCGTGCGGGGAGGGCTTTTCTCTTTCTTCACGGGGTCTCAGGGCCTCTTGTTTCCTCTCCACGTATGCTCTTCCCAGGTCTCTCCAGCAGGGTAGCCAGGTATCTTACATAGCGGCCTAGGGCTCCCAAAAGCAAACATTCCAAGAGGAAGCAGGAGCTGCCAGTCCTTTTAAAGACGAGGCCTGGGTCTGACATGGTGTGACTTTTATTGCATTCTATTGGTTAATGCAGATTACAGGCCCCGTCAGTTTCAGATCAGAAGACAACTAGGGAATGAGGCTGGGTTCCTTGGAGGCTATTTTTTTTTTGAAACAGAGTCTCGCTCTATTGCCAGGCTGGAGTGCAGTGGTGTGATCTCGGCTCACTGCAACCCCTTGGAGGCTATTTTTAGAGATGAACTATCACAGTAATATACCTTAAAAATGCTTCATTTTAGACAGTTTTTGTGTGTTCTAGGGTGGTCAGTTGCACTAACCAAGAATCTATGAGGTGTGGTTAGCCAGCAGTATATCGGAAGAGTTGTACTACCAGGGCTGCCACTATAAGCACTTCAGCTATGCAAATTTTGATCAAAACTAAGCCAGACATGTGGATGTTTCTTGGTGGGGGAGGAATTTCCTGTCCCCAGGGACAATGAGGCTTCCCTAGGTTGGAACTGGGTGTGATGCAGTCCCTCTTGCTGGCTCTTCCCACATCCCCACTGCTCCTCCCGTCCTCCTCTGTCTCCACGTTGGTAGAGGAGTCAGGCATGAGGGGAAGGAGAGCACTTCCCTTAGCAAGTTATTGTTTAATGGGAGCTGGTGGGAAGAGTTCTGTCATTTAATACTCCTTGCTGGTGGTGCTATATGTAGTGAAATCAACTGCTACAGTGATAGGGACCTTAGAGATCATCAAGTCCTACCTCTACACCATGAAGTTAATCTTCTCTCACCATCTCTGGCACATCCCTCAGCAAGCTAGAAACAGAACTCTGCGTTTTTTCCATAAAGTACGAGAAATAATGATTTCACTTTTAAAAACTGCCTTCTTGAGCAAGTGTCCGTTTGGTCACCCAGATTTCATCGGTCCTAACTTTCATCAGGTTGTTCTTGCAGAACGTGCCAGTAGAAGCATTCACCAACTGAAATGTGCCCTGAAAGAAGGTGATGTCACTATTGGAGAAGATGCACCAAATCTTTCTTTTAGCACCAGTGTGGGAAATGAGGATGCCAGGACAGCCTGGCCCGAATTACAACAGAGCCATGCTGGTGAGTATGAAAGTCAGTCCTAGCCTGAATGATGCATAGTGAATTTTTTAAACTCCGTAGAATAATAAGTCCTTTCATTCTTCGTTCTGCTGCTATGATGTTATTCCTGAAACACAAATCAGATAATTTAATTCCCTTGCTTAATCTTTTTTTCTTTGACTTCCCAATGCCTATAGGCGAAAGTCCGAAATTCTTAGTTACAAAATAACAGTGTTTTCCTAAGATAGCTCCAACCTGCCTCTTTGGCTCATCTTTGTGTACTTCTCATGTTAATCATCCATCTCACAACTCATATTCTAGTTATAATGACCTCCTCGCTATGCTTTTATGTTTTGACATGTGCGGTGCCTTCTAATTGGAAGTTTTCTTATCCTTTTCTGCTTGGTGAACTCCTTCCTGTTCGTCCTTGCAGTGTTATCTCCTCTGTGAAAACAAGCACAATTAGGTGCTTCCTCTTCTTGTAGCACAGTGCCCAGCTCTAGGTCTACATACAAACTTATTTTATATCAGTGTCTCTCTCTTCATTGCTAGATTCTTAGCACTTAAGGGGTAGAAATTCTTTTTTTTTTTTTTCCTAATGTTGGTCTTTGTATCCCCAGTTGATAGCAGAATTCTTGATGCATAATATATATTTCAGCAATTTTTATTAGTTGGAAAGATGAATGGGTGGTAAGAAACCATGGATCTCAAATAAGGTTAATAACCCCTCTGCTTTCGCTCTATAGTTAATCAGCTCAAAGATTTGTTGCGCCGACAAGCAGATAAGGAAAGTGAAGTATCTCCATCAAGAAGAAAAATGTCCCCTTTGGTAAGTATCAGCTTTTCCAACTTGACAAAGCATTCCTATGTTTTACTGTACTGTGTCATTTTGTAGTACATGTTGCAGAAAAAATTTAAGCATGACATGCTAATAGTGAAAAACATTAAAAGTAATTCTTTTCCCTCTGATGATTTTGGCTGAAAAAATAGATTTCCATGGCAGAAGGAATCTTGGTATTTTTAATTTATTATTCACTTGGAAAATGGGAGCAAGGGAATAGTTTGGAGAATTTATTTTGCAACTGTTAGCAAAATATGTAATACAAATATATAATATATAATAAATTAATATAAATTATATAAGTCAAAGGAGAATATATGTAAAAGATAAACTAATGATTTTAGTAATTTCTTTTTTAGAGGGCCATATCTATCCATCATTTTTAGAAGTTACTTAATTATAATTGTAGCCCGCCTTTGTAATATTTTAAAATTTTGAATGTCAAAATAATACATTTTGTTTTTAATTAATTAATTTTTTTGAGTTGGAGTCTCATTTTGTCGCTCAGGCTGGAGTACAGTGGCATGATCTTGGCTCACTACAACCTCTGCCTCCCCAATTCAAGTGATTCTCCTGCCTCAGCCTCCCTAGTAGTTGGGATTACAGATGTGCACTACCACACCAGGCTAATTTTTTGTATTTTTAGTAGAGATGGGGTTTCACCGTATTGGCTAGGCTGGTCTCAAACTCTGAACCTCAGGTAATCCACCTGCCTCAGCCTTCCAAAGTACTGGGATTACAGGCATGAGCCACCGCACCCCGCCTCAAAATAATACATTTTAATATGTAATGTTCTATATGTTAAAATATATGGTTATAAAATTGTATGATATATAAGAAGTGGTGCTGTATTTCTTCTGAGGCTGTTTTTTATTGCTTTGACAGAGTATATTATTCTTGATTAAAGCATTTTATATGCTAAAGGCTGAGATAGATGTGAGTGAAAGAACTCTGAACCAGATTTAAGTGGCCAAAATAATAGTCAAGGGCTTAGTTCTATCTAAGGTCTATCACATACTCTCTAGGATATTGTGCCTGTCTCACGGAGTTTTTGGAATAACGAGATAAGATTACATACTTAAAATTCTTTAGAAACCTATGAAGTGTTACACAGACATAACATGTCAGAGCAGCAACCTCGCATTTTCAATGTGTTTTATAGTTCAATACAATGCCTATATGCTGAAAAGTATGGAGACATGTTACTTTCTTTTCTTCACCACTGAAATGTCAGAATATCACTCCCATAAGAACACTTCATTCCAGGCTGACACTAACTTTTAAGCTTAATTCCAACTTTAGAGAAATGTACTTCATATGCATATTCAATATTTATAGATATAGATTTTATAATTTTAATAAAACATCTCATTATTTAATGAATTTATTACTATTGACGTCCGGTTTCTGGCATGCTCTTAAGCACACACTGGTGGAATGCTTTTAAGTCTACCTAGATGCAGTTGCTTTTTCTGTTGAATACTCAGACATGCTTATTCGTTTTTTAAAGCCTGAGCAAGTGATATTATGGAGCTTATTGAATCCAGGCAGGCTGGAAGACCTTCATTAAGAGAATCAGTTTAGTACGTACAGAGTACACTTTAAAATATACAAGTCTATTTATATGGAGCTGTGTAAAAGAATGGAACTTAGACTCTAAATGTATATAGCCTACATGTAATAATTATAAACCATAATAGTAATAATTAGCTTTTTAAGATTATAGCCTTAGAATGCACTTTCATAGCCAGTATAACGTATTAGAAATACATGCATATATTGAGAGTAAAACTGAGGCACTATTGAGATGGAAAAGAAGTTATTACTTACTGTCTTAAAATGTAGATATCCAAACTAAAGCCCTTTAAAGTAGACACAAATGATTTCAGGTGAACGTTTTTCATACAATATTAGCTTGAGCTTTTTATTTTTCACATTGACTTCCTGCTGTATACTCATAGTAGTAATTTATATTTGCTTACCTTCTGAACCTATTTCTATTAATGGAGGATGATTCTAATTGTTTGATTTCTACTCATGACAGATAATTCATTTAATTAGAGTTACTTTAGTTTTTAAATATCTTCAATACACCAAAAAACAGAGCTCTATTTTATTTTATTCTGCCATGGTTGCTGGTGCTTGGTTATCGTTTAAAATTTCTGCTGTGCTGAGAAAGAACAGCTGAGAAACAGACACTGTGTCTCATTTCAAGCTTTCCTCTGGGTTGGTTTAACTGGGTGACCCTTGTTTTCCCTTTTCCTGATTTCCTCATCCTTTTAAAAAAAAATCATGTGATGTGTATATGATTTTACAAACTATATCACAGTCACTTTAAGATAAGGTAAGATATACATTAGCAGTAAGTTCCAGGAATGCTACAGAGCTAAAATAACATTAGTGTTTTTTTTGAAATCTCTTCGTTGGACCCCTCAACGAAAAAAGTAGTAAAACTACTTCAGGGCTCTACTCTTGGAGGTCCTATGCTCCAGAACAGCATACGCTTGAATTGCCTTCAATCCTAGAGTCAAAAATCGAAAACTATGTTTTGCTAATGTATCCTTTTTGAGATGGAATTTTATCGCATTGACACAGGCTTGGCATCAAAGAGTTCCTAAAGAATCTCTCCGTCACGGAGCTGCTGCAGTTTTAGCTAGCAAATCCTCTTCCATGGCAGTTTCTTGGAGAGAGTTGTCCCTTGTATCTCAGCATTACTGAATGGAATGTTGTTTTTCCAATTTGTTAAAATAGTTCATTCCAAGCCAGTTATACTACTGCTACCCCAGCATTTTTCCATTCACTATATGTGCTTTTTATAACCACTTTCACCATCCATCTTAAAAAACAAAATGATATTCACGTCCGTGAATCTTGTGTATTTGTGGAATTTATAGGATAGAGAAGCAAGTATTTGTGTTAGTCCATTCTTGTGTTGCTATAAATAAATACCTGAGGCTGGGTCATTTATTTGAAAAAGAGGTTTAATCAACTCATGGTTCTGCAGGCTGTACAGGAAGTGTGGGACTGGCATCTCATTCTGGTGAGGGCCTCAGGATTCTGCAGGCTGTATGGGAAGTGTGGGACTGGCATCTCATTCTGGTGAGGGCCTCAGGAAACTTTCAGTCATGGTGGAAGGTGGAAGGGGAACAGGCATTTCATGTGGTGAGAGCCGGAGCAAGAAGCGAGGAGAGGTGTCACATTCTTTTAAACAACCAGATCTCACCAAAACTCAGAGCAAGAACTCATTATCATGAGGATAGCACCAGCACCGAGGTATTCATCCATTCATCATGACCTAAACACCTCCCACCAGGCCCCACCTCCAATGCTGGGGGCTGCATTTCAACATGAGGTTTGTGGGGGATAAGCATCCGAACTATATCAAGACTGTAAGCTACATTGCGATCAATTATATGTTTATATCACATCAGTGCACAATTGAGTATGGAGAAGGTAACAACTGATTCTTTGCTAAATCCAAACATGCTTAATTTTGCTTTTTAAAAATTATGTATGTATGTATGTATTTATTTATTTATTTTTGTCATAGAGGTCATTAGAACATGAGGAAACCAATATGCCTACTATGCACAACCTTGTTCCTATTATTAATGACCAGTCTCAATATATTCATCATTTAGAGGCAGAAGTTAAGTTCTGCAAGGTAAGTTTCTCATTAAGAATTTAAAACTAAATAAATTAAAGCTTATATTTACTATACATTGTATACACATTTGCTACTATAAATCTTCATGTTTGTAGCAATGCATTGACAATTGCTATTCTTACATGATTGAGAGACTGATGTGTCACAAGAGCTTGTCAGACTTGGGAATGATGCTTTTGACCATACCATTTCTGATTGCTTGATTTCGCAGTAGTTCATTACTATGTCTAATGATTTCATAATATGCTCTCATATTTCAGAAGTTTTCCTTCTCACCCCACTTGCTGTAACCCAGCAAATGGCAAATGCTTTGGAATACAAATAGCAATCATTCTCCCACACTTGTCAACCTATTGGGGCAGGGGTACAATAATCAGGGATTCTAAACTGGCAAGACCTGTTCTTCTCCACTGTCAGTATTAGGGCTCTTACTTTGACTTTGAATGAGAATGGTTCATAGGGTACTGACAGTAGTGATCAGGAAACTAAACACATCATATATAGCCTCTGACACTAGAGGGTTATATGCTTAACTGTGTGCAGTTTACTAATGTCATTAATGCTAATAGAGCCTTTTCATCTCTCCAAAGTATGTCGTGTTTTACTTCTTTTCTTTCTCTCCCTCTTTCTTTCTTTCTAGTTTCAGTGTATTAGATTGTAGAATATTTTTATAGGAATTACTGATACCTCTTGTATCATGTTTTTATATATAGTATATGATATTATGTATTATATTGTTGACATTTTAAGATGATGCAAGGCCAGTATGTAACTTAAGGAGGCTTTAGATGTTTCACTGTTCTGATTTTACCAGGGAATTTCTGATCTTAACATGTAATTTCCTGTTTGTTCTTGGAGGACACAGTCATTAATATACAGGTGGTCTTGGATTACCAGTAAAGCTGAAATAATATCCTAGGAACTATTTCATTAACAAGGCTCTATTAATCCCTAAGATGTTGTGGATAAAACTTGAAAGATATAAAGCAGAATGTATTTACCATCTACTTGAGAAGACAGAACTATTCCCTATTAACACCATAAGCAGCACATTAGAGAATATAGTATAGGCCTTTACTTCTTGGTATAAGCTATAATTATAATAAGAGAAGAAAGTTAGGAAAAGCTAATGTCTTTGGGAATGTTTTTATGGGAGAGAGAGATCTTGAACCGGTCTTTTTTTTTTTTTTCAATTTTTAAAATTATACTTTATGCTCTAGGGTACATGTGCAAAACGTGCAGGTTTGTTACATATGTATACATGTGCCATGTTGGTGTGCTGCACCCATTAACTCGTCGTTTACATTAGGTATATCTCCTAATGCTATCCCTTCCCTCACCCCCTACCCCACAACAGGCCCCGGTGTGTGATGTTCCCCTTCCTGTGTCCAAGAGTTCTCATTGTTCTCCATATCCTCATTAGCATTTGGTGTTGTCAGTGTTTTAGAGTTTAGCTGTTCTAATAGATGTGTAGTGGAACTTCATTGCTGTTTTAGTTTCAATTTCCTGATCACAAATGACGCTGAGCATCTTTTCATGTGCGTATATTCCACCTATATCACATCTTTCAGTGAGGTGTCTGTTCAAGTCGTTCACCCATTTTTAAAATCAGGTTGTTCGTTTTCTTATTGTTGAGTTTTAACAATTCTTGTTGTATTTTGGATGCCAATCCTTTATCAGATATGTCTTTTTCAAGTATTTTCTCCCAGTCTTTGACTTGGCATTTACTTCTCTTAACAGTGTCTTTCAATGAGCAGAAATTTTTAATTTTAATGAAGTTTAACTTACCAATTTTTTCTTTCATAGATTGTACTTTTAACTTTGCATTTAAAATTTATTACCGAATCCAAGTTCACTGTATTTTCTCCTTTCTTCTTCTAGGTATTTTATAATTGTTTATTTTACATTTAGATCATGTTTGAAGGACAGTTGTCCATATTTTGGGGTCTATTTCTGGGCTATCCTGTTCCATTGATTTACTTGTCAATTCTTTTGCCAGTATCACTCTATCTTGATTACTGTAGCTTTATATTAAGTCTTGAAGTTGGGTAATATCAGGACTCCAATTTTGTTCTTCTTCAATATTGTGATGAGTATTCTGGGACTTTTTTGTCTCCCTGTAAACTTTAGAATCAGTTTGTTGATATCCACAAAATAGGATTTGGATTGGAATTGTGTTGGATCTATTGATCAAGTTGGGAATAACTGGCATTTTGATACTATTGAATATTGCTATCCATGAACATGGAATATCTCTATTTACTTAGATCTTCTTTGATTACTTTAATCAGTGTTATGGTTTTCCTCAAATAGATCTTCTATAAATTTTGTGAGATTTATACCTATTTTATTTTATTTTATTTTTGAGACACAGTCTTGCTCTGTCATCCAGGCTGGAGTGCAATGGTGCAGTCTCGGCTCACTACAACCTCTGCCTCCTGGGTTCAAACAATTCTTCTGCCTCAGCCTCCCGAGTAGCTGGGACTACAGGCATGTGCCACCACACCTGGCTAATTTTTGTATTTTTAGTAGAGATGGGGTTTCACTATGTTGGCCAGGTTGGTCTCGAACTCCTGACCTCATGATCCACCCGCCTCGGCCTCCCAAAGTGCTGGGATTACAGGCATGAGGAACTGTGCCTAGCTACCTATTTTATTTTTTAGTGTAAATGGTATTATGTATTTAATTTCAAATTCCAATGATTTATTGCTAATATAGAAGAAAACAATTGACTTTGTGTATTGACCTTGTATTCTGCAACCTTGGTATAAGTCACTTATTAGTTCCAGCATTTTTTGTTGATTCTTTGGGATTTTCCTCATCAACGAGCATATTATCTGCAAACAAAGACAGTGTTATTTTCTCCTTTCCAATATGTTTAGATTTTGTGTTTTTTACATTTTTCATTTATTTTTCTTAATTAATTATTTTGAGATAGGGTCTTGCTCTGTTGTACAGGCTGGAGTGCAGTGGCATGATCATGGCTCACTGTAGCCTTGACATCCTGGGCTCAAGTGATCCTCCTACCCCAGCCTCCCTGGTGGCTGGGACCACAGATGCACACCATCATGCTTGGCTATTGTTTTATTATTATTACTTTTTGTAGAGTTGAGGTCTCACCATGTTGCCCAGGCTGGTCTTGAACTCCTGGGCTCAAACAGTCCTCCTGCGTAGGCTTCCCAAGGTGTTGAGATTATAGGCTTTAACAAATGTGCCCAGCCAGATTTTATTTTTTTAATTGTCTTATTGCATTAGCTAAGACTTTTGGAATGATGTTGAATGGTTGTGAGAGGGGCCATCTTTGCCTTGTTCTTGATCTTAGTGGGAAACTACTTTCTTACCATAAAGTATGTTAGCTATAGGTTATTTGTAGATGTTCTTTATCAAGTTGAGAGTGTTTCCCTCTATTCCTAGTTACTGAGAGTATCGATGCCTCTCGACTTACAGTGGGATTGTGTCCTGATAAACTCGTTGTAAGTTGAAAATGCATTTAATATACTATAGAATATTGGTTGTTTACGCCTGTGATTGCACGGCTAACTGGGAGCTACAGCTCACTGCCACTGCTGCTGCCCAGCATCATGAGAGAATATTATACTGCATATTGCTAGCTTGGGAAAATATCAAAATTTGAAACTTGAATTATGGTTTCTACTGAATGCATATTGCTTTTGCAGCATAATAAAGTCAAAAAAATCATAAGTCAAACCATCGCAACTGAGGGACCATCTGTGTTTATCATAGATGGCTGCCGCATTTTGTCAAATGCTTTTCCTGCATCTACGGTTAAAATTATGATTTTTCTTCTCTACATTGTTGATGTGACATTAACTGATCCTCAAATGTCGAACCAATGTTGTGTAATTAGAATAAATCTTACTTTATCCTGGTGTAGAATTCTTTTTTACATTGTTGGATTTGATTTGCCAGTATTTTGTTGAGGATTTTTTCATCTACGTTCACTAGAGATATCGATCTGTAATTTTCCACTTGTTTTCACTTGGTTTGGGTATTAGGTTAATGCTGGCCTCATAAAATAAGTTAGCAAATACTTCTTCTTGAATTTTATGAAATATGTTATAGATAATTGGTATAATTTCTTTCTTAAATATTTGGTACAATTCACTAGTGAACTTATCTGGACCTGGTGCTTTCTGTTTTGAAAGGTTGCTAATTGTTGATTTAATTTTCTTGATAAATATAGATTTCTTCAGATTATCTATTCTTCCCTCTGTGAGTTTTCATGGATTGTGTCTTATAAAGAATTGGTGCATTTCATCTACGTGACTAAATTCATGATCATGGAGTTGTTCATAGTATTTCTTTGTTATCCTGTTTTTTAAACATTTCTTTATTATCCTTTTAATGTTCATGGGATCAGTAGTGATAGCCCCGTTTTCACTTCTGATCTTAGTATATGATAGAATCTAATTGGTATTTTCTCTTTTTTTTTCTTAGTTAGCTTGTATAGAGTCTTATCAATTTTATTCATCTTTTCAAAGACCCAACTTTTGATTTTGTTGTTTTTCTCTAGTGATTTTCTATTTTTAATTTCATTTTTTCACTCTGATTTTTACTATATGTTCTTTTCTGCTTACTCTAGAACTAATTTGCTGTTGGTTTTTCAACTTCTAAAGTAGAAGCTTAGATTATTTATTTGAAGTCTTTCTTCTTTTCTAATTTTTTTGCACTCCTTTTGCTGCATCCTTTTAATAAGTACATAGCTTTTTATCAGTTGTATTTTAATTTTTACTTAGTTGAAAATATTTCTGAATGGATTTTGATACGTCTTGGATTCATGTGTGTCATTTAGAAGAGTGTTGTGTCATCGTCAGGTATTTGGGGAGTTTCCCAGCTGTCGTTCTGTTACTGATTTCTGGTTTAATTCCATTGTTGTCTGACCGCATACTTTCCGATTCCTTTAAATTCGTGAAGGTTTGTACATTGTAGTCTGCCTGGGTGACTGTTCTGTGTGAGCCTGAAGAAAACGTGTGTAC